GCCTACTTATAATAACTCTCAGCCTTCTAGGAGGTACCAGTGGACTGTCCTTCACAGGACATGTTAAACAGCTCCACTTGTGTCAATATTTTTGTAAGTCAACCATTGGAAATAATACGAAAGCAATTTCCTAAGTCTATCATTTACCATTACATGGACGATATTTTGTTGTCTGATTCAAGCATAGATACCTTAGACTGTTTGAAGAAGTGAACATAGTTTTACCTAAATGGTGATTGCAGATTGCTCCTGAAAAAATACAGAGAGGAGTTTCTGTCAATTGTCTAGGTTATAAAATAGATTTACAAAAAATTAGGACACAAAAGGCACAAATTAGGAGACTTTGGTTACAGAATCTTAATGACTTTCAAGATCGTTAGGAGACATTTCCAGCCTACGACCAGCTGTTGGGATAACACCTGATTTAATAATTCATTTAAACAAAACCTTGGATGGTGATAAAGACTTAACAGTCCCAGAGAATTAACAGCTGAAGCAGAAAAGGAACTGACAATGATTGAGGAAAAATTACAAGAGGCACATGTGGATAGGGTGAATCCAAAGCTTAGTTGTATTCTTGTCATATTGCCTTCCAGAATCTCTCCTACAGGAATCCTAATGCAGAGAGATGATATTATCTTAGGATGGATCTTTTTACCATATAAACCAAGGAAAAAGTCTCTGAATTAATTATAAAATGTAAATTGAGACTTTGTCAATTAGCAGGCATAGACCCAGCAAAAATTATAGTGCCTTTCACTACTGGTGAGATAAAAAAGTGATGGGAAGACAATCAACCATGGCAAAGAGCTTGTGCTATTTTTTAGGAGAAATTAATAACAACTATCTCAAAAGCAATAGGCTTAACTTTATGAAGAGAACTTCTTGGATTCTTCCTCGAATCATTCATGATGCTCCAATAACCATAGCCCATACATTTTATACTGATGATAATAAATCAGAGAAGGCAGGTTACAAATCAGAAGAACTGAGTAAGGTGGAACAAAGTCCCTATGATTCTGTCCAGAAGGCAGAATTATATTCCATTATTATGGTTCTAAGAGACTTTAAAGAATGTCTTAATGTAGTTACTGACTTGCAATATGCAGAAAGAGTTATCTTGCATATTGAAACTGCTGAATTTATACCAGATGATACAGAACTGACTTCATTGTTTATCCAGGTACAAGACATGATCAGGAACAGGCTTTGTCCTATGTACATAACACACATCCGATCCTGTACGGGTCTGCCAGGTCCTCTAGCACAAGGTAATGCAGACATTGATTAATTGTTGATTGATACTATGCTGCAGGCCTATGAATTTCATTAAAAAGATCACATCAATAGCAAAGGCTTGAAGAAAGAGTTTTCTATTACATGGCAACAAGCTAAAGAGATTGTAAAGAAATGCCCTACTTACTCTTTCTATAACCAAACGCCACTGCCTGCAGGGACTAATCCAAAGAGTACTCAAAGGAATGAAATCTGACATATGGATGTGTTCTACTTTGCAGAATTTGGTAAATTAAAATATGCACACCACACCATTGACACCTGTTCAGGTTTTCAATGGGCAACTGCTTTAAGCTCAGAAAATGCTGATTCAGTAATCACTCATTTATTAGAAGTTATGGCCATCATGTGCATACCTCACAAATAAAGATGGACAATGGTCCAGTTTATGTCTCTAGGAAAATGAAACTTTTTTTTTGCTTATTACAATATTAAGCATGTTACAGATATACCATACAATCCTACAGGTCAAGCAGTCATAGAAAGATCAAATCAAACTATAAAGGATATACTAAACAAACAAAAAGGGGTGGAAAATACCCACAGAAATAGGTTACATAATGCTTTATTAACCTTGAATTTTTCAACGCAAATGAGAAGGGAACAACACGTAGAGAAAGACATTGGATAATGGAAAAGTCTGCTTAATTAAATCAACCAGTTTATTTCAAGAATTTATTGACCTCACAATGGAAGCCAGGAGATGTACTGCATTGGGGAAGGGGTTTTGCTCTTGTCACCACAGGAGAGGAAAAATTCTGGATACCATCAAAATTAATAAAGGTTCGGCTTGAAGAAGAGAAGCCTCTCAAAAAAGATAAATAACAATTCATTCACAAGGATACTAATCATACCAATGGTAAGAAAAATATATAGGTTGGGGGAAGGGTTCTCTTCTTATCTCCACAGGAAAACACTCATCTTCAAAGAATTTAAGGGACCCTGGATATTTGAATACTGATGGATGGAAACTAGTTATACCCCAATATGGATCAGCAATAAAACAAAATAGGTTCAATAAGTATGAACATTTTTTAAAAAATATGTATTAATTTGCATTTATTTATAAATATATAGAGCTGGTTTTGGAGTTGAACTCTGGCTCAGTCCCTCTCCAATTCCATGCCTGTTGATAAGAGATATCTCAGAGTTTCTATCTCATGTCAGGAGCCATGATATGGGACAGAATAATAATAATAATAATAATAATAATAATAATAATAATAATAATAAACTTTCTTTGCCTCTCCTCATATCTGTTTCTGTCTTTATTACACCTTTCATTGAATATATATGTCTGTATATGTCTTTGTAGATAATGTTTAACTTTCCCGTAACAAACAATAAATTTTCCTGCAGTAATCTTTAAAGTTTCCAGGATGAAGATGGGGCCCCACAACATCAACTCCACCTGGTTACTATGATATTGATAGCGCTAATTTTAGACCTGTTTTTTGGTACCAGCTACCCAGACAGTTCCGAACGGTGCACATTTTTGGCAACACTCTGGGCGGACCTCCTCAAAACACTCAGAGACTATTTGCAATTTTACTCAAACCAAATATTAATCTGGGAATTTTACCAACATTTACTTTTACAGGACCCCCTAAGAAGAATGTCACCCCAGTGACAGCTGGAAGCAATCTTAGAGGATGACGTCCCCTCTTCCAACAGAGTTTGCCCTTAGGTTTAGGGACATCATTTAGGAGTTGGTATAGGTTTGAGGGGATGGGGGAGGTATTTTATAGGCTCAGGGGTGTTTATTAAAAAAAAAGAGGGGTATTAACTGGTTTGATGAGATAATTGGTATTTGTGAGTTATTTTTTTAATACATTATATTGGTATTGATTCTTGTATATTGATACAAAAGTGAAAGTATATTGAATATTGTATGTGAGTATGCTTCTACCTCTGTGTAAAACATTTGTTATGTATTGATATATATAGATATATAGATATATTTACCATATTGCAGAGTACATTTCTACCTTTGATATTATTTATGTAATGATATACATTGTTTACATTTGGAGGTCATTGTCCTCATTTGTTGCACAGTTGTTTATTCTCTTAGTCTTCAAGTTAGATAAGTATCGAGAATTATAAATCAATAGTCATACATTATTTATATGTTTGTCATATTTATATTTAGGCTAAGCAGGTTCTTTAGATATATAGAGATTATATTTAGTATAGATAGTATAATCTTCAAGCTCTTCGAAGAGCTGTTGAAATGGCCTTTAATCTAACCTAGAGTTCCATGCTAAGAAGACACGGTCACTCCTGGCAACACCGCTCTACTCCCGAGAGAACATTGAGCACCAAGGACACTCCACTTGGAGCTTGTCTTCTTCTTGGCATAACTGGCCTTTGGGCAATGAAAAGCCCATACCTTGACTACTGACAAAGATACAGAGTATCCGTAAATGGATAAAAACAGGATTGTCTTATCTTGCCAAGACAGGGTAGGTTAATTCTAAAGAAGTTGCTTGCCTTTGACAATGGTTTGTCAGTTATGTCAGGCCTCAGCCAACATTGGTTGCCTCAGCATTGCATACGAGACTTTGGGTGATTGCCCAAGTAGTCAGTTGTCTCTGTCATTTGTTGCACATTTTGGAAGTTTCTCGTTCGTACTTTCTGGTTGCTTAAGTAATATTACTTACCTTCTCAGATCTGTGATTTCATTTATGTGCCATACCTATATATGTGATTTGCCTGCAGACATCTTAGAAAACAAAGTGATGAAAAATTATCCTTTATGGCCATATACACAGGCACACATGGGAAGACTTTTAAAATAGATGGCTGTATATATATATATATATATATATATATATATATATATATATGTACACACACACACATATATATATATATGTCTGTGTGTGCATATGTATATATATATGTATATACATAAATGGATGGATAGATGATAGATAGGTAGATAGATTATAGATAAATTGTTTGTAGATTTGAGGACAAGGTTAGCAGTTCACTCTCCTGAATGGATTAAACAAAATAAGAGAGTAAATTCTAAGATCTTCACCCTTTGGACCTAATCAAATTTTACCGCCACCTAATTAGCCAGCAACTCGTTTCAGTACATCTATTTAGAGCAAGAGAGTTGCAAATATGGGCATTCTACTTAATTACCTTTGTTTAAAATAAATTAAATAACAAAAATCAGATTGAATAGGTTCTGTCTCATTGGGAATTTTTTTTTACATATAATTTTCTGATAAAGTGAAAATAATCATTCCATGGACATGAACTTCACTAATTACATGGCGTGTGTAGGCTCCTTAATTTTCCAAGTTTGTAAAAGGGATGGAGTTTATATGCATAGTTAAAAATAAATGAAGGTAAACCATCAGTTACTTAATATAGCAGTGTACCAAGTTGAGTACTGCTGATAAATGATAATTGACTCTGACTGCTTTGATCCATTTCTAAAATAACACCATTACATTTCTAAAGGCTAGTGAAAGACATAACAATTTCTTGAAAAGAGAGAAAGAAAAATTTAAAAACTGGAGTTACTTCTTCAAGTTTAGAGTGGTTGTTGCAAATTCAATTAATAATTATTCCTGTGTTTAATATTTTCTACTGGCTTCCTTAAACATATGAAAGTCATTAGACTTTAATACACATTCACATTACATCTTTATAAAGTCATCTACTATAATCCTTTCAGAAAAAAGTACCCTTCCAACATGTTGTCTAGTATCCATTTCCTCTGGTACAGCAAATTGGTTCCACACCCAGCCACGCTTAGCTCTCCCAGTAGATGATGCTGATCTCTGAGTCTTTCTAGCTTGGAAGTTCTCTGTAACGTTAAGGAAAGGCGAGAGGAGAAGAATGACCAATATCCAGTGTTTCAGGAAGCAGCTATTCATTTTGGTGTTTATTTGAATTCCACCTGTAATTCTAAAGAAGAATAGGAATGATGTAAACAAATTGTGCTGTTTCTCAGTACTCCTTTTCAATCGTAAGTATCATGTATATTCCTAAAACATAAAAAAAAAACAGAACAAAAACTGACATTTACAAAAAAATTTTCTCATATAATTAATAAAGACTGATTATAACATTTGCAGGTGGGAGTAAGGAAATAAAGCAGATATTTAATTTATCTTTCAATTAAATTAGTTATTTGTATTTTGTGGCTCAGCAATGATCTGATGGTAATGCTAAAGATTTTAGCTTAAGCATCATTTGTTTTAAACTGCAATCATAAATCAGTCCAAAGGTTTTAGGATTTCTTTAAGAATCTCTTTGACTGACAGCTGACATTGAAATATATCCAATTTTATTATCATTTAACTGTCTTACTTCCTTTTTTATTTCTATCTCAGGAAAACTCAAGTCAAGATATTAAAAAAAACTCCTCCTTTTGCTTGCTAGAAATAAGTTTTACCTTACAATTTCTCATTATAATAGTATGCAAAATATATGTAGTACAAATTAATTTTTACCTATAACTGAGAAACTTAATAATTAGTGAGAATAATGTTACAGATAACCTCAACTAAAAAAATTAATGAAAAATTATTTATTGTTGAAAAATTAAATAATTATAGCTTATAAAGATAGCTATGGTTCAAAATGGAATAATAAGGGAAATTTTCATTATTGTAATATTAAATAAATGATATTTTTAACAAAAATGCAAGCAGATGGAACCAGGGAAGTATATAAACTGAAAATTGGATATGAATGTTATTGCCCATTAAATAATAGAACAAACACAGGCCTACTTCCTCTATTTGGAACCTCATAGATCTTAGGCTACTCTCCTTAACTCTGAGACAACAGCCACTCTCACCTTCCCCACCTACGCACAATATCTGCACAGTACATTGAGGAATCAAAATCAGACTTAATCATTTTCTTGAAGAAAAATAGTCTAGTGAATTCTTATCAGAGTTTAACATGATAATAATGAGAAAAGTCACAGCATCTCAGGTTACAAGGTTTTTTTTAAATGATTTTCCTCTGAATACTCAAAATTTATTTTGAACCGCTTCAGAGAGACTACTTTTATTTTTGACTTTAGTTAAGAAAGGTTGTTACAAAACATTTAATTAAGAAATGAGGAATTCTGTGATTTTTATGTCTTTCTTCCAAATAGCTGTATTTTTGCTACATATTTACTTAATGAAGATAAACAAAGATATTCAGCGTGAGTAAAAATAGGATGAACTTCACCCTTAGATTGAAGTTTCAAAATCTGTGTTCCATTTTGTTAAAAATTGCATGACTATGTGTGTGTGAGTGTTTATACGTGTGTGTGTGTGTGTGTGTGTGTGTGTGTGTGTGTGTGAAAGAGTGAAAGGGAGAGAGAAAAGCAGAGAGAGAAATTCAATAAGAATTTATTTTTATTTTTTAAATTTATTTTTTATTTTTAATTTTCTAAAAAGAAAACAATCTTTTTTCATTATACATACCAATTTAACTTCCCATTCTATCCCCTCTTCTCATTCCCTCTACATACCCTCCACTCCCACCCTCATCCAATCTTCAAAGAGGGTAAGGCACATTGCTTTGGGAAAGATTCAAAGCCCTCTAATATATATATATATATATATGTATATATATATATACATATATATATATATAATATGTACATATATATATATATATATATATATATATATATATATATATATATACAGAGCAAGGTATCATTCAAAGAGACTAGGTTCCCAAAATGCACTACATGCAGTAAGGACAACTTCTGGTGTCACAACCAGTGGCCTTCAGTCTACCCAAGCTATGCAACTGTCAACCACATTCAGAGGGACTAGTTTATTCCTATGCTTGTTCTTTCCCAGTACAACTGGAGTTGGTGAGTTCCCATTAGATCAAATAAACTGTTTAAGTGGGTATACTTGGTCCCTTTGTTCATAGTCTCATTTCTCCCACTCTTCAACTGGGCTTTGGGAGCTAAGTCCAGTGCTTCGATGCAGGTCTCTGCCACTGTTTCAATCAGTTGCTGGATGAAGATTCAATGATGATACTAAGATATTCATCAGTTTGACTACAAAGCAAGTCAAGATTAGTCCCCTAATCCTCCATTGCTTATGGTCTTAGCTGAGGTCATCCTTTGGATTCCTGAGAATTTCTCTAGAGCCAGGTTTCTTGCCAACCCTACAATGACTACCTCAGTCAAGATATCTCTTTCTTTGCTCTCATCTCTGTCCTTCCTCCTTCTTGACTGCCCCATTCCCTCAAGTTCTCCTCTCAACCCTCCCCTTTTCCCCTCTTTTCCCCATTCTACCCTCCCTTCTTCCCCCACCCCCATACTCCCATTTTTTTCAGACAATCTTGTCTGTTTTCACTTTTCAGGTGAGTCGGTATATTTTTTCTTAGGTTTTACCTTATTATGTAGCTTTTCTAGGATAATGAACTATAGGCTCAATATCCTCTGGATATGGAAAATCTGGGTAAATTAACAAAAACTACAGAGACAAGTGTAAACAACAGAATACAAGAGAGAAGAAAGAATCTGAGGTGTTGAAGATACTATAGAAGAAATAGACTCATTGGTCAAAGCAAATATTAAATCCAACCAATTTCTAAAACAAAACATCCAGGAAATCTGGAACACCATGCAAAGACCAAACCTAAAATTAATAGGGGTAGAAGAAAGAGAAGAACTCCAGCTTAAAGGCACAGAAAATATATTTAACAAAATCATACAATAAAACTTTCCCAACCTAATAAAAGATATCCCTATAAAAGTACAAGAAACTTACAGAACACCAAATAGACTGGATCAAAAAAGTCCCCTAGCCATATAATAATCAAAACTCAAAACACACAGAATAAAGAAAGAATTTTAAGATCTGCAAAGGAAACAGGTCAAGTAACATATAAAGGTAGATCTATCAGAATTATACTTGAATTATTAGTGGAAACCATGAAATACAGGAGGTCCTAGGCAGATGTGCTGCAGACACTAAGAGACTACAAATGCAAGCCCAGATGACTATCCACAGCAAAGCTTTCAATTATATTGATGGAGAAAACAAGCTATTCTATGACAAAAACAGACTTAAACAATATGTATCACAAACCCAGCCCTATAGAAAGCACTAGAAGGAAAACACCAACCCAAGGAAGCTAACAGCACCCACACAAAAACAGATAACACATCACCAACAAAACCCAAAGAAAGGAAACACACAAACACTACTACCAAAAAATATCAATAAGAAGTTTTTTGCTTCATAAACAATTGAATTGCTACTACTGAGGTACAATCCAGTTCCTAGCTGAATGACCAATACATAGATAGACAGACAGATAGATAGATGCTAGATACAATAGATCTGATAGAAAGAATAGGTAAGTGGTGGCTATGATTGGAACACAAGAATTATATTTTGTTTGATTTGGAAAAGTATCCTAAGAGTTAATATGAACACTAAATTATAATATTTCGGTAATCTTTTTTCTCTTAAGTCTATAGCTTGATACATTGTGTTAATTGAATTTTTATTTTTTATTATTTATAGTATTTCATGTGGTTGTTTGTTTCTGTTGGGGGGGTTGGTGGGGGGGTTGGTGGGTGTGCATGTCACTGATTGCCTTCTGTGACTCATGTGCATCTTCAAGCCCACAGCATGGCACCATCAGAACTCATTAGAACTCTCTTTGATCTATCGGGACATTGCCTTCTCACATTATGTGAATTTTTTTCTGCCTTTATCTTTCAGTGAAATATTGCATTTAAATCCCGATGGAAGCATTCTGAGCAAAGTCTTTTCTTGTACCATAATGCAATATTCATAGGATTCAAGAATTTTGATCACCATTATAGAGCCTATAAGAAACTAATAAGTAAACAAGAAGACAAGACACAGACTTAGAGCAAATGATTGTCAATTATATTTATTAAAAGGACCGTAAGGAGATATTAGAGAATGTTGAAAATGCAATAATAATTGTCATTATAAAATGCAGTATGGCTGAGCATTGGAATGAATTTTCATGAAAATACCGAAGAGCAATATGTTCTACAATAGTAAGTATTTTGTCTTGCAATAGTATTGCAAATTTAGTTGCATTTCATACTATTGAAGTTAGAATAGTAACAATTAAAAAAGTAACTCTTCTGAGGTTAATAGCATATAATGAGCATTACAGTGTTTTTTGATCTTTTAATAAAATTCAGTATTATAGGAGGAATGATTTTTTAACTGAAATCTCTTCTTTTCTCACACATTATATTCCAACCATATTTTTCACCCTCCAGTCCTCCTAACTTTCCCTACATACCTCACCTCTCCCAAAAATCCACTCACCTGCTTCCTCTTCAGAAAGGAGCAGGCCTTAAAGAGACTATCACCAAAACTGCAAAAGAAAATGGAGATAAAATAAGACAAGGCAAAAGCCCTCATATAAGGTTGAACAGCATATATAAATACGATAAAAAGAGTTTCAAAAACATGCAAAAGATTCAAAGACACACTCACTCCTACTGTTAGGAGTCCCATTAAAAAAACAAGCTAGACAACCACAATATATTTACAAAGGTGCAGGGACAGACTCATGCCAGCCCCATGATTGCCTCTGCCGTGACGTTGAGTACATATAAGTCTGTTTAACCTCCATTTCCTCTGACTCCTGTAGTCTTTCCTTGCCCTCTTTCTAGGTGTTCCTATATGGACAAGTGGAAGGACTCAGTGCATACTACCACTTTAGACTCTGCTTCATAAGGTCTGGATATTGGACTCCGTACCTGCTCCCCCATGTTTCAGGAAGAAATACCTCTAATTGTTATTGGACCAGCGGACAAGACATCGATTTACGAACATAGCAGGATATAATTTCTTTTTTTCTCCTTTTGCCAGTAATGTTGTGTTTTTTTTCAGGCTATTCAAGGCTCTAGTTCCTTGAATTCCAGAGTATATGTGGTGTGGGGTTCGCTACTAGCAGAATAATTCTCTACTTAGTTCCTTAAGTTGAACCAACCTTTGTTTGGTCATTAATTCCCACAAGGTCTGTATCATCGTTGTCATCACTGCACACAGAGCACCTTGAGCCAGGTCAGATTGTAAATCTATAGTTTCATAACGAGGTTGGAGTACTAGTATGTCTTTAAAAATATTTTGTGTGTGTGAGAGAGAATGTGTGGTTCATGTGTGTAGTGTGTATGTACACTTTGTATGCTAGAACAGAAGTTAGAATATGACTATTAGTGGCCTGCTTTTTCACTCTCCATGTATTCTCTTTAGATAGATATCTCAATGAACCTGAGCCAAGTCTGGTGGACAGAAATCCTTAGGATTCTTCTTGTCTCTACCACCTATTATACCCCAATGTTTTTCACAGGTGGTTGGAATGTAAAATCAAGTACTTATGATTTGATAGCAAAAATTTGATCTACTGTGCTGTCACTTCATTCTTAAATAAATTAATTTATGATGCAAATAGTATTTCAAAAATTTTATACTGAGCATATAAAACTTGATGAAAGTAATGTAGATTGTATATGTACATTTACATGTAAATTTTGAATGTTTAAAAAGAAAAATATATAATACCAGATATTGTCAATTTTATAGTAACAGATACTTAAAATATTACCACTTTAGAATTCAAAATATAGCAATGCAGATCTGAACAAATTGTTTATTATTAGTATGTGGTGTTGAAAGTTTATGATAGTTGTATCTGAATTGTGAAATGTTTCTTTGTACACTCTCTGCTATATTTAAAGTTTTCTAAAGTTTCCATGTTTTTCAGGAGAATGGTAAAAACTTTTCAAATAATTGTCCACTTGTGACTGAAGATGACGGCATCTGTCATTAGTGCTGGACTGAAAAGCACTCCAGGCAGAAAATGAAAACTTATAACAATTAGTTACATCAATAAAATACCTGCTAAGAGGAACATCTCTGCTCTGCATTTGCAATCCTGCTTATATTTTACATTCCTGTGAATATTTTAGAATAAACTTCAGAATATGTTATGTGAGGAAAACATGAGAATCTGGTATTTCAATGTGTTTAAGTTTATCCCCAAATGTATATAGGCCTATTTGTATTTATTAATTAGGTTCCAGAATATAATATACATTTCATGATATTTATGCTTGTAAGTGAGATGGAATTTAGATTTTTAAAATATTATGCAGAATATTAAATAATATTAAAACACCATAAATGTTAAATATTAAAAAATATAAAAGCATCATAAATACATTATATAAAAACCACATTTTATCCAACATTATACCATGCAGGAAAAAAAAACTATGTCCAGAACTTTTGAATGTCTGATCAACTATTAAGTATTTATTTGTAAATATGTAGAAGCCATTCTTGTGTTTTCCTGGATGGAAAAATGAAAAAGACAGTATTTAATAATGTGACACTTCCAGCTAATGTTTTGTGTTTTTTACACTGAATAAAATTCTATAAGTTTTATTTTATCCTCTAGACCATTCTTAAAGAAGACATGGAAAAGTATTTCCTGTTACCTCACATAGGACAGTTTTTAAATACTGAGAATGTAGTCTTGAAAGAAAAGAAAAGTCAGAATGATGGATGTGGTGGGGATATGACAAAAAAGCTGAAACTGGTGAAAGTAGGAGGGATTAAATATAGAAACTCAATCCTACTTGTGATCTCTTAAAAATCAAGAGAAACTTGGCAGTATCACAGAATGGCACTGTAATACAGCCCTTAAATGACCATAATAGAAATTGGGGAAACTGTGTTGGAATGAGCTCTTGTTTATAAGAGGGAAACAGTGTCTCTGGACTCTGAATTGTCATTGCTCACACATCATCTTCAGATCCTAAAATACCCATTAAACAGAACAAGAGGGTGGATGAGCTATCTATGTCTTATTTTAACTACTTATGTGTATAATAAGCCATGCAGGGTCATAATTGCTTCATTAGGGTTGTGATGCCTTTTTTGACATTGCATCCCATCCATTAACTGTATGTGTGATGTCATAGGACATAATGGGACTCATAGTGCCATCCATTCTTAGTGTATAATTTACTCCCTCAATGCTTGTTCAGTGAGGATGAACACTGGAAGAATGAGCAGTGAATTTGAATCACTACACATGGTCGATTTTGACGGTGAAAAGTATGTCTAAAATTGGAACACAGAATCCAGTGGATATAACATACAATAAAACAGTCTATTTTTCTTAAATCTTTCTCATTTTTCTTGCCTTCTACAAGCTCTCACAACACATATCTCCCTTAATATATCACATTTACACATCTGTAAGGATAAATATGATTGGCATAACAATTGAGCAGAAAGCCAGCACATAAAACATTTAAAGATAAAATTAATATCATCCATCCATTAAGTCTGGTCCATGGAAATACTTTGTAAGATGAATGAAAGAGAAAATAAGAACAAATAATATATTTATTTTAAAGGGGAAATTTTATTTACCTTCTGAAAGGAATTGATGAAATACTATGACTTTTTATGATATAGGGAATTATGTCTGAATTAGGAAAATGACTTTAATCAGGAACATATAAAATTTACAGCTGCATCTATGAGGCATGAACATACAAAACCACACACAGAGACACACAGACACATACACACTAATGAGGAGGACACTATCTTGCTAGTTGTGAATAGAATAAGATAGGGTAACTGAGGTGAATATGATCAAAACACACACACACACACACACACACACATATATATTCAGAAATTTTAAAATGAAAGAATGTTTACCCATGGTATTTTTATATTATAATATCTATTTCCATAATACATATATGCAAAACTTGAAACAAGAAATATCAAATGACTTTACATAACTTCTATTGATGATAGGATTGTTATTCAACCTCATCAAAGTAAAACTGTTCTCTCAAATGCAGATCTGGAAAGGTTCAAGTGTCACAAACTGCTTTCTGGGGAGCAAAGACAGGCAATGGGTTCATTATGTGAGCTGTTATACTCAGAATTTTAACTGGCCTATTTTACATTTTATAAGTGTGGGTAGGTATTGATTTGTACATTTGTATATTTAAACAAATACTTAAATACAGCAAATCACATATAAACAGTAAATTTCTAGCAATTTTCATTTTCTCAATTTTGAATTAGCAACCATTATTTTCTGCAACACACGCACCCCTTTATAAATGCCGGCAGCAAATATAGCTTATGATAGTTGAATGTCATTCTTTTGTGCTAAGCATGTTTAGGTGACTATGACAAATGATGTAATCATGCTTGAAGCAATACATGATATTGCATGGACATATATAAGTAGAAAATGATTGCAATGTGACTCTGAAAAGTAAAAAAATGTTTTCAAAAAATATTAATCATGAATTTAGAAATGAAAAAATATTTTTATCTATTCACTTATACAGTTTCAAACTGAATTTTATTAGTAATTGTAATTTCTTTGACCCATTTTTGAGTACCTAAATATTTATTGCATCTGTGACATATAAAATTATGACATTCTGAAAGGCTTGTGAAACATGAAATTCTAAGTCCACTAAACCCAGTTTCTGGTGAATAAAATCAGATCGTGTTTAAAGCAAAGGGTCTATTCCTGGAAAACTATTGAGAAGACTTGACAAAAATGATCTGTTAAAAGACTTATAATATGACATGACCCAGGAATTTCTAAAGCTTAAAATATTAAGAGTACTCTTCAAAATATGTTCAGAAAGGATCATGAAAAGTTTCTCTAAAATTTAAAGGTGTTATATTAAAATCTAAGTGTTTAGAGTAAAAATATTGCAATGTTTTGCAGGATTCTCTCTCTCTCTCTCTCACACACACACACACACACACACACACACACACACACACACACACCGAGAGAGAGAGAGAGAGAGAGAGAGAGAGAGAGAGAGAGAGAGAGATCTTAATATAAAATGCTCAGAGTGTATAATGTTACTTGTATGTGTGCATTCAAGGCTGACCATTTGGCCCTGGATTGCCAATTGATGTGCTCTTTCCTAGGGAAGGCAAATTCTCCAGCTCCCTGCTGTCTTCAGTTGCCAATAGCTCTTTGGGTAGTGTTGTAGCCTCATGTGCTTTCCCCCATACATTTTGCATGTGAGCTTTCTTTTTTATTGTATTTAAGGCTGACTTCATGAGATGGATCCCATAATTAACATCAATCAAGTGGTCAACCACCTTAAGCTAGATATGTCCTGGACCTAAAGGAAAACTTAGTATCTGTCAAACAAAAAAAAAAACTTAATCTGTCAAAGGAATATACAGGAAATAATGGATGACATGACCTCACAGAAACTATGGCAGCATACAGTAACAACATAGGTACATACGAGGAGTACATACCATTACCAAAAAATCTCAACTATAACCAAGAAGCTATTCATAATTGATAGCTAATGGATAAGTGAAAACCAATTATCTCAAATAAGATTTTGCTGGGTATTAATCAACTACAGTTCAAGATTGGTTGTCCAATGCAATATTAATTCCATAATTTTTTGTACTTTTAAATTATTTTATCTTCTTTATATTTTGCTTTTTTATTTTTATTTTATAATATTTTGTTTTGGGGCATTTATTTTGTTGAATCAACATTTCTCTGTAGCTTTGGGGAAATAGCTTTTGTAACCTAGGCTGGCCCCAAACTCCCAGAGATACACCTGCCTCTGCTTCCTGAATGCTAGGAATAAAGTCATGCATCAGCACCATCAGACATAGTGTATTTTTTAAGAATTGAAGAATATATAGTTGGGGTTGTTGGAAAATGAGGTCAATTAAGACTATAGTTTAAATTTAAAAAATTAATAAAAGCAGTCCATTCATCACTGATACCATGACATAGGTTACCATTGTTGTTATTCTGTAAGTGTGCAAAAGTGGCATGCTGAATTCAGACCATTTGAATTAGTCATTAACTAGTGATTGGCATTTAAGTCAAGTAAAATGGTCATCTCAAATAAGAGGAGGTAACTAAACAATAATGAACTATTTATAATGATTTTTATTTTCATCATGCCTTTTGGTCCATTGTTTGCTAGTATGTTACTATCATACTATAATTTGATTTCAGGAAATATGATATCTTAAGTAAGTCTTATTTTGCTTATGAGTACGTTGACTACATTATGCTTTTTCCTACTCTATGTTCATTTCCAAACCCCATAAGCAACAGAAAAGACTTAAGGAAAACTATGAGATATTTCCAATTCTTTATGCTTTTTATCATTCTTTTCTATTCATATTTTGAGTACAATACATTAACAATATTTTATAAAAGTTTAAACTTTTAGATAACTATTACTGGTTTGCTAAGATTTGTATATCCATGCAAACATTAGCATTAGAATATAACTTCAGGTTTGTATTCAATATTCAATGACATAAATTGTACATTTCATCATTTATTTTTATCTTATATCCTCTTACTTTTGAATCAATGACTATAATAATGTCATTCTCAGAAAAGTGGGTGAAAATGGAGGTCATCATATAAAGTGAAATAAACCCAAGACAAAAGAATGGTTGGGAGATATTTTCTCTCATATGAGAAGTTCAGAAAAAGAGAATATATGGATGTAAGAGCAGCATTAAACATTTATGGAAAAAAGTTAGAAATAAAAGAATAAGAGTGTGATTAGACAGGTGTGTATTATCATTTTCTATTAGAAGTATATGTAAAAAATATAACAATGATACAGACTACTTTTGCAACCAATAAATGGACAATAGTGTCATGACATCTCACGAACTGTATAATAAAAGGATAAATATTATTTGTATTTGAGTCTAACTTGAAAAAGTGTCCTAGACAGATACATAAACAGGCACACTCATGTTCTTAGTAATAATAACAACCTTGGTTAATATTTATTCATATAACTTAAGCAGTATTTACTATAATTAATGCTAAAGTATGCATTCTGTGAAATAGTATTTCAGTAATAACAATAACCATAAAATTGAACTTATAAAAGTATTATGAATACAACTTACAATAATCATTCTTAGACATATATTTAGACAAACGTTTTTGTATTTATGAATGTTTCTTTATTATTAGCTAATAACCTGATATGCCTCTATAGTTGATGTAATCTATAAGCACTTAAGAGTGAAAATATAAGTAATAAGAGTAATGCTCATGTCTAACATTTTCCATGGGGAGCGTTATTTAGAAAGGATTATTTGTATGGAACTAGAGGATTATTGTAGCCTGGCTACATTTTTTTCAAACACTGTGCAAAAAGGGCAGCATTATCTTCATCAGTTAAAAAAGTATTTCAGTACTGTCAGTGAGTGTTTTCTTAGGGATAATCAACAATGCTCTACTTCAGTTTTACAGAGCAAAGACTGTATCGTTTCCCTGTTAATGTTTGAATGGTTTAGTAACATCTCATTATTTATTTGTATATTTTGAGAGTGCTAACATTTTATTAAGGGAGTTTACATACATTATTTTTAATAATAAAATAGATAATAGAATTATGTTGAGACTGTTTAACTACAATATGACAACAGCAGAAATATTTATATTCCTGTAACTTATGTATAGTTTGTTCATTCCCAAAGAACTATAATTTTTATTTAATTTATAGAAAAATTTAACTTTCTCATTTTAAGGCATAATAATGAGTTAAAAGTATTCTCAGTTTAATATACCATATTGTAAAGCACACAACTCATTCATAATATAAGGTGCAATTAAAGCACAGATCAAATATTGATCTTTCATCAATAATTTACTGTACTCAATAACACTTTAAATTTCATTTTCCATATCAAAGTAGAGCATTTGAACATCAGCATCATATGTTTTCTTCACTATTAAGTCATTTATCACTGCTTTTATATTTACCTCAATAATTAGTTTGGAAAGTTCAGTAAAAATTTGAGTGCTTTACAATTGTAAACACTGTCTAAGATGAGACAAACACCTTTTTTAAGGACCATGCCAACATATTCAACAGAATATGTGTATTTGAAAAAAAAGAATTAATTGGTAAATGATTTTTAAATTTATTATTATTGATCCACATTTGTTCTCTTGAGTGTTTACTACAGTTAATAAATCTCCTTTTGTGTCTGGTTTTGTTTTGATTTCCTAGGTCAAACATCTTCTCAGCCAGTTTGGAAATATCATCTCTCATTTCTGTGAGCTGTTGTTGGAGTCATAAAATGATTCCTTTAAAGATATTAGGAGGCTCCTTGCAGCTTTATTCCAGCCTTAATCTGTTATACAAAAGTGAGTAAACAAGCTGGAAGATCATAATCTTAAAAGAATATCCTCAGAACATTTAAAAGTTGTATTTTCTTTCTTGTATTTATTTGCATGTTTGCTTCTCAATATTAACAGGCTGGCAGCAATAAATTCAAAGGAAGGTGGATGAAAAGACAACAAACATACTCTTTTTAGGCATTAAACAAACTGTTATTAGTTTCTTCAGACTCAGTGAAGTGTTCATTACTAACCATAACTTGCAATGTGTAAGATCTTTAATAGATGCTTTCTAAAATGATAAAAGGCAAAACTAGTTTCAGTTAATATTTATTTATAGAATATAATAAAAAATAATTTCTGAAAAATACAAGGAGACTTTTATGCATGCTTTACATTTTATGTAAGTTAAATTTATTTTCTCTTATGTGAAACATAAAATTGTACATATAAACAAGGTAATATACACACAATGTAATATTTAAATCAAGTTACAATTATATATTGACTTCAAATGTCTTCTGATATTGGAAATCTTAAAAAGACACATCATCTTAAGTCATTGTCAAATCAATTTGTAAACTTTCTTTGGATAACCATTCTAAAGATTCCAACATGGGAAAAAGACAAACTAACAGCACCAACACTGTAAATAGGACTACTTTAATGGTTGTAGAAATTGAAAAAAAAAAAAAGGAGGGTGTATGTGTGTATGTGTGTGCATGAGAGTTTGTGCTTGTAGGTAGAAAAATATACGGAGGTAATAAAGAACAAAGCTTACCCAAATATTAAGCTAAAAATGTAGATCTTATTCATACAATGAAAGATATACTACATTAAGTGTTAAAGAAGTCTTGATAAAGAAGCAAATGGATTTAAAGAACAAGTAATTGTATAATTATTGAAATACAAATAAAATACTTAATTTTAAATGATCCTACATATGTAATTTAGAATTATTTTTCTATTTAAAAACTTATTTCACTCGTTATTAAATTCAAGCTTTATATATACTCATATTGTGTGTCAAATTTCAAAATGAAACACAATATTTTTCTTCAAAGTTGAATCTCATAATGAAGCTTATATTAATAATAATACATCTATTATATAAGTTACATAAGCTTTTATTAATTATAAATACATTCAAATAAAATATGTTATGAAACTTACATCAATGTTTCTTATCTTAACTATAATTTGTTTATAAAGTTAACATGTAAATTTATATACAGAAAATGTTTTTGTTACCAAGCATTTCATTTACATGTAATATTCTAGATTTTATAACTTTTGAAATTTATTTTAGGATTTTTTTAAAATAATAATTCAATCATAATTAAAATTGATGAACTAAAATTTATTCAGAAGATGTTGAATAACCTTCACTATTAATTTTGACTTTTTAATTTTCCACTTGATTCATTATCTTTTGTCTAACATTTAATTTGAGATATATAAATGCCTTTGAAAATATGTGAATTCAAAAATGTTTCTTCTTGCTTTACTCAATATCTTTATTTTAATATAAACATAATAATATTTACTGCTTAATTTCTTTTGATAATTTTTTTAAAAAAAATGAAAAATATAGAATAACAAATTATATAATTAGTCCTTGATTTTGATAATTCTTAATCTTCTAATAAACAATGCTATAGAAATATGTGAAAATTTAATCTGAAAGTATTAAACAAGAATAAATTGTTATATTAAATATTTATTTTGAAATGAAGTTTATTTTTCATGACTTATAGGAACACAACTTCATTATCCATATTTCATAATGTTAAAATGCAGATGCATGACAATTTAAAATAAAGTCCAGACTTACCTATTTATAGAAGAAACCTAGCTTTCTAATTTTTTAATATTTAAGAATTTTTTTCTGAATTTGTATTAAGATAATAGAAGTTTGATTATGTGGAATAGTTTTAGGAAATATCCAAAAATTTATTCACTTCAATTATTTCTATATTGAATTTCCTTAGCAAATGCCGACTAGCCATCATTTTTCAACTACTTCCTGAATTGGTTTATTGAATATATATATAATATGTATATCTTATACATTTCATTCTATAACAGATGTTCAGAGTCTCACCTGCTCAGATGCAAACGCCATAGCACCTGAAGAAGTGGGTATTACAACTTGGTAGCAGTTACAGAAGAAAGAACGGAAAGATCTTCTAGCTTAGATTTTCAGGCTTCACAGAAAAATCTTCATTGTTCAATGTGCTCTGAGTTAGGGTTGCTGCTCTTTTAGTAGCACAAAACTCTCAGTATGTTACTGCAAATTCAATGCTATTTCTGCTTGTCCAAGTAGAGGAATGAACACTGAGTCTTTTGTGCAAAATGCCATAAGGGCATTCTGATGTCATTTCTTAGTCTGAGGCTAAAATGGAGACAACAAAACAAGTAGTCTGAGGCAGCATTTTCCCCCTGCCCCGATCTCTTTATATCTTTCCTGTTTTGAATCTTTGCAAAAAACAAGCAAAAGAAAACTTGCTTAAGATGACGAGGGAACTTATGTAACAGATTTCTACAAATGAAGAAGACATGCCCTTTGCTTGAAGATCACCCCAGCAAACAAATAATCATTTTAATGCTGTGAAAATAATTGCTAAAAGAAGAAGAGTCCTGAACTCTATGTCTAGGCTTCTAGATTCTTTTTAATTAAATAATTTTTACTTAAGAATCATATATATTGCATAAGGAGAAGACATCCTTTAAATTTTAATAATTTTATTTCGCTTGGCTTATTTATTAATCAACCTTCAATTTCAGGACCAACATTTAAGACATGAAAATTTGTCTTGCACGCAGGTTCATTTTTATCATAACCATGAAAATACAGCAGCAAATACAGTAGAAGATAACTAGTAGTTTATTAATGAAAGAAAGTATATGCTTATCAATTTATACTTTCATATTGTAAATGTGAAAAACAAAGTTCATTAGTTTTGATTAGACAAAAATGTTATGTGCCTTATTAACGTTAAGCAAAACTAAGTTCTGCACATTTATGAGAATAGTAGTACTCATGTACTTACTGATTATTTTATATTTTTATGACAAGTACATTTGATATATTGCAGACATTATTGAAAAATATACATCACAACTGAATGATTATTTATTAATTCCTGATGGTTAACTCAATAAATTTTCAAAGCAACAGCAGTCTGAAATGTTTATATGCATTTATGTAAATACACATGAAAACACTTGGTTTTTAATACATATAATAATGAACACCCATCAACTCAGGAGTCCTTACTTTTACTGATCACAATTTTTCAAATCTTTACTGGGGTATCATGCTAAAAATCAAATATTCTAATTTTTTTCTGCCTAGGGATTTTCAGAGTATCTGTGGCCATTTCAGTTTTGCCCTGCCACACTAGAATCCAACATGCCAACATCTAATGGTGGTGATGGATCTTCTCTGTGCAGAAACTGCTCTTTTTGGGTGCTGGGTGCCCTTGGCAGTATTTCCTATGAATAGTGCTGTGATGAAAGAGACAGTTGCTGGAATAAACAGCTTTCTTCCTCAGTTCTGGCCAGCCTGCAGTCACAAATGTGCTTTTGGTCAGTTTTAAATGCTTAGGATTTAGAATGTCAATAGATTTTAAGCTGGTTATCCCAGACAACAGTCATGAATCTATTCACCAATGTGCCAAAATAATCTTTTTACTCAGAATTAGTAGTTATAATGCCCACAAGCAATATTTCTGGCTTTCTGAACATGCTAACCAAACCAAAAATAATTATAGTCATTGAACACAGTTAGGACTGACTAAGAGAGTTTAGGAGAAAAAAAAATGCCACTTTTCATCTGAGTACCATCCTCACATTACTTCACATTTTATCCAGTCTACCTAACACTGTCATCTGGGTTCTAGTTTTGGTATCACCAAACATCACAGTTTTAATCCCTGCACTCATTCATGCTTTACTTTTCTCCTAAATGTAAAATGTGATCTGCTCATAATTATAAATTCCACACTTTACATTTTCATAGATGTGAGAGCAAGGCCAACAAACTTATGAGTAAAACTTGTATTACGTCTCTTGAAGCTGAATGATGGTAAATCAAAATCATTGGCTTAAAGACAGACAAACAAAACCACTGATTTTGATATTCATTTCAAACAACATTCGATTTTGCCACAAGTGTTTTGTTTTGATTGAATTCACCTGCCTCTTTAGGAGAGATGTCACAGAGGATGTAGATGCTATCCATCAAGAAAAATTAAATAAAATTCCAAATACACTCCAAATTAGCCAGTGTTTATTACAAGCTTAAAACATTTCAACTTTTGTTCAAGGAACTGTTGAACATTCTATACTAATGTCATGGATCTTGGCTCATCAGTCATATTTTCCAAGTCTCTGCCCACGTTTTCTCTTTTCTGATAACTCTGTTGATTGCTTTTCTGTGGTTATTATTAGCTTGGAAATTTGTTCAAGTGTTCATGTTTTTTTGTTAGCCATCTGCTAATTCATGAACATGCAACATACATCCCAGTCCACTGCTTGCATTAGACACAGTGTAGGTGTTTACATAGGGATGATATTTTCACTTTAATTTTACTGATTATTTCTATTTAATCTTTATTTATGTCTTTTTCAAACCTGTCTACACCTTTTCCTCTTCATGTCTTTGCTGTTTGAGCTGGTCATTTCTAAACATATTCCAAACAGCACTTAGAAATTACCCAATAGCCATATTCTCATTATTAGGAATTTATTAGGTGCTAATATTTCTCTAATTCTAAGGGAGCATTTTCTGTAATATTTTATTAAATGTCAAATGTGGCATATAAACCTCAAAATTATATTTATATTTATCTGTATTGAAATTGTCTCACAGAAAGCAAAGACAAACTTTTGATGTTGTACTATATAAAGTACATAACCAAACATTATTCAAGTATCTAGGAACAAAGTGGAAATTCACTAATGGCGTAAAGTAATTAACACTGTTAACTGTCTTTCTAAAAAAATAAGTTACATAATATTAATGGATTTAATATGGTATTTTCATACATGTATCATTATAGCTGTTTTTTTTATCATTTCAACACTGAACTTCCACCATTCATGTTAACTCTTGCTAGCTCATTTTCTCCCATCCTTTCTTCAATATTTCCCTTTTACTGACACATGGCATGTATTCCATGACTTTTGTTCTCAATCACCCCAATCATTCTTTAGTTAAATCTCATTCCCCCATTTATGAGGTTATTTCGAGGTCATGAACTACACAGTCACACACACACACACACGCACACTCACACACACACACTCACACACACACACACACACACTCACACACACACACACACACACACCTCACATACATCCGGCACACATATTTAACTTCAAGTTCTGATAAGAGAGTAACTTGTGCATTTTGATTTTCTGAGTCTTATTTAATTTGATAAATGTAGACATTTTTTGCCAAAGATTTTATTGTTTAGAATGAATAAAATTGTATTTTGTATACAATATGTATATTTATAAATTAATGCTTATATATTGATCTATTGATGGGCTTCAAAGTTGGTTCGATTGATTGGTTTTGTATTAGAACAAGAAACAGAATTTTAAGGAAAATTACACCAAGATTTCATGTTACTGAGTAACAGTCAGCATTCTAATTGCTAGGCCTTATGATAATTATATCTTTAGTCATCTGAGAAAACTCACTGATATCATTAGTGGCTCTATTGTTTATTTCCTCACTAGTGGTGACAAAAGGCTCCTTTTATTCACACATTTTTACAAGCACTGTTATCATTTGTGTCTTGAAATCCATTCTTATGGGGTGACATGGAAACTCAAAACAGTTTTAATCTGTATTTCTCAATGCTAAAGATGCTGGCATTTTATCACATATTTATTGGCCCATTTTAGTTCTTCCTTAGAGAACTGCCTAGTACATGATGGTGAACTTTTTGTTTAAAAGATTTGCTTACATTACTGTGCGTTTTTTTAAAAAATATTTTATATTCTAAATATTAAACCTTTGTGTGAGGGATTAATATTTAGAATATAAAATAATTTTGAAAATATTTCCAACCTATTGCTTGGAAATATTTTTTTATCAATTAGGCTGTCTATAGGTTCATTTATGTATTAATATGCTTTTAAATTTAATCTGAATATTTTTGTCATTTCACCAGATTATTTAGTGCACTACTGGAGTAATGTTCAAAAAGTTGCACTCCATGACTGTAACTATAGAGATTTCCATTCTGAGGTTTTATAACTCTCAAAATGTAGGTACTATATTGATGTCTTTGATCCATTTTGAATTTTGCATGTGGTGATATATATGACTTTAGTTTCCTTTGTATACATATAAGCAATCTCTTCCACCTGAAATATTTTAACTCCTTATCAAATATATGTTTTTATTATTGTCCAACATTACAGCCTAAGATATGCTCTGTCCGAAAAGTGCTATATTTTTACATGTGAGGACCCAAGTACATATCCCTAGAAACCATTAAAAAATGAGAGAAAAGGTAGGCATGGTGTCACGATTTATAATCCTAATTTTGAGGAGTTAGAACATGTAAACTTCTAAGGTTTGCTAGACCAGTAGCCCAAATGGCTAATTTAAGGGAAAATAAAATCCCTTATCTCAAAAGCATAGCAAACAAACACACAGATAAACAAAAGCCACATGTATAGTATCCCTTAGGACAGCACCTAATGTTTATTTTGGCTTATACTGATGTAGTAATAAGGGGAGCGACGGGGCTGCGTCCCCAGCACCCCAGCCGCCTGCTCAGCTAGCTTATGCCCCAAAATAATTACATGGACACTGTATTCTTTTAGACACTGCTTGGCCCTTTAGCTCTAGCCCTTACTGGCTAATTCTGATATCCCAATCAACCCATCTCTAATAATCTGTGAGCACCGGTCTTACCGGGAAGATTCTAGGTCTATCCTGGGTCAGAGCTGAATCGTGTCTGCCCGGGAGAGCGGAGCATGGCATCTCTCTGAGGCATCTGCACCCAAGAGGAGAGCTGTGGAGTCTGAGCTCACTTCCTCTTCCTCCCAGCATTCTGTTCTTTTACTCCTCCCACCTATCTTCTAACCAATGAGGGCCAAACAGTTTCTTTTTATTTAACCAATGACCTTCCTCCATCATTTCCCCTTTTTCGGTTTAAAAAAAAAAGGCTTTAACTTTAACATGGCAAAATTACATATAACGAAACAGTTATCAAGTAAAAG